AGAAATAAATCAAATTCTAATTTCCTGATTGTGCTGTTTCTATCTTTTTTGCCTGGTTACTGTATACGCTTGTAAAACAGGAACATATTGCAATGTATAAATAATTATAACGTATGCGTTTCGGCAGGATCACCAAAATGTTTGCAGGATCACCAATATTATAACATCGGTGATCCTGCAGGATCACCGATGTTAGAAAAGTATTTTCAACCCTGCTAACTATCATAATATAGTGCGAATGATTTGAGTTACATTTCTATAAATTCTAGCCATTATAGATACATGTCTTAGCTATAATCTCTGTGAATTTTAAGTTTATTGAAGCACGATTATTCTAATTAATTAGCAAATATGCACGCGCGGTATCGCTCATAGGCTAATACACGCGCGGCTATATGGCCGGTAAAACGAAACGTCACGAATTCTATTTTTATCCTCCAATCACAGGTTGGAGCAATTCCTCTGTTTAGACGCATGTACATAATGTGCCTATCACATTAACAAGAGCAATTCGAGATAGCAAGCCTGCGCCACAGCTTAACACTTCCCTCCCCCATATATATATATATAGCGATCGATCTAATTTGTAGTCGGGTTTAACGCGGCGGTGACACATCATAAACCCCTACAGAGAGAGAAAGCGAAACAAAGCGGATCAATGATGAGAAATCCTTCAAAAAATTCCTGGATCCAGATCTGGATCCGGATCACCACCAAAATCTAATCGGGCCTTGGCCCAAGACCAATCCGTCCAATAAATTTCATCAAAATCCGTCTGTACATTTTTGAAATATATCCTGTTGACAGACAAACAAACCAACAAACAAACTAACAGGGGCGAAAACAACCTCCTTGGCGGAGGTAAAAATGTATCTATACTGCCACTACTAGTATATACTACATATACTATTACTATATATATACTATTATACTACACACTAGCTAATCACTAATCTAATGCCAAATGCTGTGACATCGCTTTGAATTTATAAATAATAAACGATGTAATTATAATATAATTAATAATAATTATAACGTGTATATGTTTATGTATACGTATACGTGTAAATAAATAGTGCTTATTACACACTTATTCGTATAAAGATGCTCTTGTGTTTTTCAGGCGGCTGCTGCTGCGGTGCAGATCAGAGGAAGATGGTTATCGGAGGTTGGGCGTGGTCCTGGTGGCTCGTCACGGACGTACAGAGGTGCGCGCCGGTCGATCATTTTGCGTTTTTCTTATGGATTTTTTACTCACTATATATTTCGCCCCCTCGTGTTCCCACCGGCGTTGTTCTCTATCCCCTACGTTCCTCTGCGAACGTGGATGTTCCTCACGGGATGGTAACGCTGGATTTTTACGGTTCCGCAGGTTGTCTCTGGAGGTCATGACCTTGAACCCGGTCTGCGAGACTGTGGAGACGAAGGAAGGAGTGCCGCTGACCGTGTCTGGCGTCGCCCAGGTAACCGCGCACGTTCGCTTGTTTCTTTCTCTTGTTTTTTCTCTCGCTTTTATTTCTTTCACTTTCTCCAAAACACGCAGTCAGTTGACGAGAGCAAACGACTATATCGAAATATCATGTTTTTAGAGTTTCTTTAAACATTTTTAGAAATTGAATAGGACCAGGGTTTGACACTAACGCTAGTCCGTTAGTCCGAGACTAGTAAAAAATAAGAAGGACTAGTAAATGTCCCATAGCCGTTAGTCCTGCGGACTAGTTATTTTCCCCGTCCCTCACCGTCCCAATTTCCCATCCTCCCATCGATTTTACTATAGTCCCCGTTGGCAGCTTCTCTCAACTAAGATCCAAAGAGCTATATATATAACTCATTGCCATCAACAAGTTTTCCCTGTTTAATAGACGCGCTAGTACAAGTAAACGCTATACGCTCTATGTCTACGCTCTATGCACGCTAGACCCTATGACAGTACAAACATTGTTAAAAACAATGGGGCCACGAACCAGTCTACCGATCGATCGCTTGACATTAGCTGTCGACATAAAACAAACGATCAGATTGTATAAATGACACAACTAATCAGTTTATACGCTCTCATAGCGAGGTATTTACATCGCAACCACATCGCATGCGTGTTTTACTTGAAGCTGTCGATACAAATAGTTATCTATAGTAGTGATACAAGTAGTGAAGCATAGTACAGGGTTGCTTCTGAGGGAAAATTAGACAAAGGAGGTAATGGCCAGTTTGGGAAAAAAATACGCACGATGGATTCAAATACAGGATGTATTGATATACTTATAGGTATATGTCAAATTTAACATCGCCGTTGTGAAAATGTTCCTGTATTTACTGATAAGTATATCCTGTATCTAACGGCGGTCGCCACTGTGCCTCTTATGTATAAGAAACCCTGTAGTAGTAGGTACATCCTTATCCAATACTAACATCAAGGTTGTTATGTGGAAGTATTTGGATGGAGCTCGTCCTCCACCTCCCAAATGTAAGTCGCAGGAGGAGAAATTAGATGGCCAGCGTGTATATAATAAGACCAAAAGGATGCGTACGTTCCAGCCAGAAAAAGAAATGCAAGGACCATGTCTGTTCACGAAACAATGGGGGCAAAAACACTAACTTTAATGAACAAGGCCATAATAGCAAAACTGAATATCCTAATTAGAAATGCACATGCTATTGGAAAAAACGGCAGGCCCTACACCGATTACATCAAGCTGTGCCAGCTTGACAAGACCAAGGGGTTAGATGTCGGCAGAACTTACCTCCCCGACAAGGCCTGCCAGAGGTTCATTACGGCGATAGCCGATACAAGGCGCCAGGAACAACATTTGTTTTCTTATGATCCATATCAAAGTTACGTATATTTTATACAATTGAATGTCTTTCACGAAACCTTTCGGGGGGAGACCCCTTGTACCCTGGGGAAGACCCCCTGTACCCCCTAGCAGAAGGGGGGCTCCACCCTCCTACCCCACCTACCTCCTGGCAAATCACAATGCTCGTTGCTCTGCGCCTAGTAAGAGTCCTTCGGCAGGACTAGTAGAATCTTGGAAGGACTAGTACATTTTTTCTTTTACTAAGTCCTGTGGACTAATGAACTAAAATGGTTAGTATCTAACCCTGAAGACCCTAAAACGATAAGGACCTCTCACCAATGAGCTACTCTGATATCTATGACATTTCTCTCTGTATCTTTCTTTCTCTCTGCGTGACACACAGGTAAAAGTGATGACAGAGAAACAACTGCTGGCGACGGCATTGGAACAGTTTCTGGGACAGAGCCCCGAGCACATACAGACCGTTATACTGCAGACCATGGAGGGACATCTACGTGCCATCCTAGGTAAACAACGACGGAGCGAGGGATAGAGCGTGGGGGAGGAGGCCGGGGGAGGGACACCTGTGTTGTGTAACGGTTTTTCGGGACACAGACGCGAGCACATACAGACTGTTATACTGCAGACCATGGAGGGACATCTATGTGCCATCCTAGGTAAACAACGACGGAGCGAGGGATAGAGCGTGGGGGGCGGAGGCCGGGGACGTAGGCTCACCGTGGAGCAGATCTACCAGGACCTATACCTGCTTCTACACCTACCTCTACACCTGTCTCGTTATCTGTCTCGTTACGTACAGGTACGCTCACGGTCGAGCAGATCTACCAGGACCTAGACCTGCTTCTACACCTGTCTCGTTACGTACAGGTACGCTCACGGTCGAGCAGATCTACCAGGACCTAGACCTGCTTCTACACCTGTCTCGTTACCTGTCTCGTTACGTACAGGTACGCTCACGGTCGAGCAGATCTACCAGGACCTAGACCTGCTTCTACACCTGTCTCGTTACCTGTCTCGTTACGTACAGGTACGCTCACGGTCGAGCAGATCTACCAGGACCTAGACCTGCTTCTACACCTGTCTCGTTACCTGTCTCGTTACGTACAGGTACGCTCACGGTCGAGCAGATCTACCAGGACCTAGACCTGCTTCTGCACCTACCTCTACACCTGTCTCGTTACCTGTCTCGTTACGTACAGGTACGCTCACCGTGGAGCAGATCTACCAGGACCGCGACGAGTTTGCGACACTCGTGCGCGAGGTCGCGTCGCCGGACGTCGGCCGCATGGGCATCGAGATCCTCAGCTTCACGATCAAGGACGTCTTCGACACCGTCGACTACCTCGGATCGCTCGGACGCGTGCAGACGGCTGCGGTGAAGCGGGACGCCGACATCGGCGTCGCCGAGGCCAACCGCGATGCGGGAATCAAGGTAGGTGGCGCCGGCGGCGGGGGTAGGTGGCGCTGGCATCGAGGCAGATGGCGCTGGTGTTCTGACATCGAGGTAGATGGCGCTTGCATAAAGGTAGGTGGCGCTGGCGACGCCGGTATAAGATGGATGTGACGGGCGTTGAATCGTAATGTTGATTGTACTTTAAAAGTGTCTAGATGACCTGATTTCGATCACATCGCTCCAGCATCCCACGTTAGCTGTGCGGGTCGGTCGCCGCGGTAACCGCGCGAAGCCGTAATCACGTCATCGTCGGCCTCAGCATCCATCGCTAGCCGTTCGGGTCGGTCGCTGCGGTAACCGCGCGAAGCCGTAATCACGCCGTCGTCGTCACGGTTGCAGGAGGCGGAGGCTGAGAAGCTTCGCATGGACACCAAGTACCAGTGCAACACGCTGATAGCAGATCACGCGCGCGCCTACGAGATGAAGAAAGCCGAATACGACATGGAGATCAACACCAAGGTGAGCCGTGTGCGCACGCCGGGTCATCGGGAGGTCGGGAAAGGTCAGGGAAGGGTCGTTGAAGATCAGGAAAAATCAGGGAAGGGGTTGGGAAAGGTCAGGGGAAGGTCAGGAAGGGTCGTGGAAGATCAAGAAAAATCAGGGAAGGTGTTGGGAGGGTTGGGGAAGGTCAGGAAGGGTCGTGAAAGATCAGGAAAAATCAGGGAAAGTTGGGAAGGTCGTGGAAGGTCAGGAAAAATCAGGGAAGGTGTTGGGAGGGTCGGGAAAGGACAGAGAAGGTTGGGAAGGTGTCAGGGGAAGGGTTGGGAAAGGTTTGGGAAAGGTTAGGGAAGGTTGGGACGGTGTCAGGGGAAGGTCA